TGGCATCGCTTTGGGCTTTGGCTTTGCTGCTGCAGGCTTAGCACTAGGCTTGGTGCCAGTCTTGACATGAGCATATTCACACTTCTCCCCATGATGACATCCACTGTCCATCTGAAAGAAAATGCAAGGCTTTTGAGCCTTTTGCTCTTTAGTCAAGGGCGTGCCTTTCTTTCCTTTGCCCTTTCCCTTCTTCTTTGACGGGCTGTCATCCCCGCCCTTCCCACCTGGAGGCGCATAAGCAGCCAAGCCAGAGGGCAAGGACGGAGGCGATCCTGCGCCTTTTGGAGTGGGCGGTGACGGTGATGGGGTCTTTGGAGCCGGAACCCCAGAGGCTTTTACACCAGGGGACATCTTACGAAAGTGATCTTGAACATCCTTAGCATTTAGATCTTCACGTTCATAACTAAGGGTGTCCTGGAGTTTACTCCACAGGAAGTCAAAACCACGCATCGTGCTGTCCCACGCATCGTGCTGTCCTTTGGGGAATCCTTGATATTCTCAATGTGGCGTTCGAGCTTCCTGAAGTTCCTGACCTTGCTGAACAACCATTCCCCAAGAAGGCGATCTGATGGGAGCTCATCACTGGGAACAGCTGACATTGTCTGTGTGACTTTGCTGGCAAAGTCTTGCACCTGAGCAACCCCAAGACCCGCAGGTTCCAAGGAAAGCAAGGCAGATGCAGTCAACATTGAACCTCGCGCTCTATCCAAGTCAAAATGCTTAGCAATTGTAGCAAGGATGAATCTACCACGGGGTGCCTTCCCATCACGTGTGCATCTCTCGATGTAGCCATTCACTTTGACAGCAATGCTAGGCACTACTCTCAAGGACCTTGTGGAAGTCAATTCGGAAGCAAGCCACCTATCAAAGCGAGGGAACCCATCACTTGTTTCATCAAGGTGGTTTAGATCTCCGGAGAAAGACACGTTGATCCATTTTGTGATGGCATCGGTACCACTGGTGTCACGCTTGGCACAGGACAGGATAAGTGCATTCTTCCATGACCGGAAGGCCGCAGCGTTATCTGGGATCGGCTCAATCTTCAAATGCTGAAGAGCCTTTGAATCAATGACATCCCGCTCCACAATTGAAGGAATTGAACTTCCAAGCGCATGCGTGGGAGGATCTACCGATCTCTTTTGGATATTACTAATTTGGGTTGGAACCGCGCTATTTTGGCCACTGTTTTCAATTGCATTGATTCGGTCTGACAGCTTTGAGATGGCTTCCAGAATTTGGCCAACATGAGAACCGTCCGCAAAAGGTTCGTGGGCATCCCCGACCGTTTCAACAGGCGTTTGGGCATCTACCGGAGGAGTTGCGATCGAGAACACTTCAGCCGAGTTGCCCCCTTGAGCATCCGCGGCACGTGTAGCAGCCAAACGGAGCCGGGAGATCTCGGCCTCACGGGCTTGGATGTGTCTCGATGCTTCTCTCTGCATTTGTTCCAGCCGTTGCCCTAGCTGTTGATTGTCGCGTTGCAGACCTTCAACCACGGAAGAAAGTTGCAACACTTGGTCCCTCAAACCTCCTATGGTGGATAGGGCCTCAACATAGATCTGATGAGCCCTTAGTTCTGCATCATCGGCTCTTTGCGATTGCTGGTTAGCACTTTCGACAGCTTGGCGTGCGTGTTGAAGCATGTCAGCTACCGCTAGTGGGTCTACACCAACGTTCACTTGCGCATTCACAGTCTGGAAGAGATTCTGCTGAGATTCATCCCTAGTCAAATGCAGCTGTTGCACGTGGGTTGAAGGTTGACTAGCAGTGTCACGATCAGGAGTTGCAACAGAGGGATCCACGACATCCGTGTGACCAGAACCAATTTCAACAATCCCAGCTTCCCGATTTCCGTACGGGCTCCCTGATGAGATTGAACGGCTCCTACTGGATGACCTAATCGCCCCTGGCATGGCTGGCACTGACCTTGAGCTACTTGACAACTCCATAGGCGGCAGCACGCTTTTGCAATGCAAATTCACCGTAGATCACTGGAAGTAAGCAAGGCAATGTTCAGCCGCTTCTGCAAGATTGGTCACGTACCTGACACTCGGTGCAGTCGGTTTCCTGGGCAGCCTGATCCCAATTGCGGCACCGCGCTCAAACTCAGAGAACTCTTGAAGGGCGTCACTCCCGTCGTCTATCAAGATCAGCAATTCCGCCCTTGGAGCAAATGCCCGAGCGACCTCCAACATTCCACCAGATCCAGATCTCTCCGGAGTGTAGATCAAAAAGTTGAAAGGCGTCCTTCGCTCCAAATGCTCGGCAGCGGCGCGTGCTGGTCCGTAGTTGCTGTTCCCCTGAATTGTACCAGAGCGGCGATCCTTTGGAATATATGAGAGCTGAGCCAAGAAACAATTCTCCGGTAGCCCTGCGGCAATGGTGTTCAGAGCACCAAGAGTCTGATCACAAAAGGATCCGTCCGGCCTGTTGTAATATCGCTCCCGTGCTGACACTCTGAAACAATCGCTCACTTGATGATAATCCACAAAAACAATCGCCCGTGCGTCCTTTGCAATTGTAGCTGCTCGAGACGGAGGAAGAGGACCAGGACCCCTGCAGAAGTGAATCAGAGCCTTGCTCAAAATCCGTTCACGCTCAGCCTCCGAGATTGACGGAGGACGCGCAACTGCTAAAGTCTGTCCAATATTCCCCGTAGGCGCTGTTGTATGTGGCCTGAGACCGCTGATGGCTTGAGATGCCTTGGGCCTTGATCCCACCTCAGAAGTGGATGGCGAACTCCTAGAGCCCTGAAACCAAATCTGAGATGTCCTGAATGAGGAGCTCGATGGTTCAGCCCCCCTCGCTGCAGCCTCCCGTTCCAAAAGCTTCCTGCTCTTCGAAGGTCGCGAAATGCGAGATGGAGGCGCAACCACCGGCGCTTCACCCTCAGACTCTGATGATACCCAAAGCTCCGGTGTGCCAACAGGCTCTGAAGGAGGAGGATCTTCAGGCGGAGGCAAAGGCAACCGCCACGGAAAGGTGTCTGCTGATTGAACCGAAAAGTGAGCTCCCGAGCTTGCAGAATTGTCAAACGTCGGCAGGCCCCGCCGAGACGATGACGAAACAAGAAGCTCACCTCCTGTTCCCAAGTCAACAGCAAACTCCTCCGAATCCGCCAAACCTCCTGCAGCTGGGGATGCCTCCTCCTCGATCACAATCTCTTCAAACTCCTCTTGTCCCTCACCCCAGGAAGAGCTCGTGCCCAGCGGCCTGTTCGACCCGTCCGCGTGGACCACCAGAACCTCTTCCCTCGGAGTTCCGTGCGCAACCTGATGAGAGACAAAAGCGTCGCGACGTCTCCTCGCCCCTTTCCCCGACCTGATGCCTCGGGTGCGGGCGGGTCTCTCCTCGTCAGCCGTTGTAACTGCTAATAAGGTGCGCGATCAGGTAGTCCGAGCCTTACGGCTGATAACCAGTTGAAATGCCCAAAACACAAGCGATTCAAGTGAATCGAGCAAATGGCGCCAGCGAGTGCAATCACGCTTTTCACTCAGCCTTGAGCCAAATGTATTGGCAATGGAATTCTCATGCACTACACCCGAAGAGGAAGTTAAAAGGAACATAACCCCTGAAAAGTGGGTTTGTTCAACTTTTATCGTACAAATTCAGTGTTACCAGGGCAACCAAAAACATTGAAACATGTTTATTCCAGGTGTTTCACGCAAAAAAACACACAAACAGCTATTTCATTCGACAAAAATCGGGCAAGCCCTTACAAAAAAGCGGGCAAACCCTTAAGTTCAACACCGGTGTTGAACTTAAGCTCTATTTTTTGGAATAAGGTTTTTTGCCCGGATTAAGCCTTGATCAAAAAGATTAAGCTTTGTTTCAGCTTCAACAGCGAGCCTCAGCGCCAACCAAGCTGCGTAATCACCCCGGTAGCGATGTTAGCCCTCCGCAGCTCTCAAGTCCTACAAATCCGGCCCTGAATGCCTTCCCAGGCCACTTCTTGAAACTGGCCCCTGTAATCACTTGGCATCTTTTGGAAAGCCCGAAAAAAGAAAAGAAAAAAAAGACCACCAGCTTGGCCACCAAAATACTTAGGCTCAAACACATACTTATGGCCAAAGAGTGTTCGGAGTTGGCTCGGGGGTTTGTTCGGAAATCAACCAATGACAAAGTTCGCTCGTAGCTTGTTTGCTTGTTCGGAGTTTGTTCCGAGCTCGCCCGGAGTTCGTTCGGAGTTCGTCCGGAGTTTGCTCGGAGTTTGTTCGGAGTTCGTTCGGAGTTTGGAGTTCGTTCGGAGTTTGTTCGGAGTTGGTTCACGGGTGGGCCTCTGAGAAGCGCCTACCAAGAAAAACACTTCTGCTCCGTATTATGTAGTGTGTGGCTAAATCCCAACAAATGTGCCCATGCAGGATTTGTTGCAGGTCACTGCTTTCTTTGTAAACACTTGCAATTGCAAGCGCAGAATCTAGCCAAAATGCGAGAATAATTTGGGCGCAAGAACAACGCACTTTGCTCGTACAGAAGAGGCGGCTTCATAGTTAAGTTTTTCCCGGAAAACAGTTCAAGCCCTTTCCTCTTGGCAGCCAAGACTCATTTCTGTTTAGACGACCCCAAACCCCTTTCAGCAGGCGCGTCAAGCTGTCTTACCCCTAAGGCTTTGCGCGCAAAACCGGCCTGGTCCCCTCCCAAAAAAGCAAATTGATTCTTGTTTGGAGGAAACTGGCATCAATAGTACACTTTGAGGTTTGCTGCAAAATCTGTGCTTGTCTGTTTTTGGCAAACCCTTAAGTTTGAGCAAAAATCAATTATTCTTGTTTAGGACCTTAAGACACCCAAATCCCGAACAAACTGACCTGACCCATGGTTTTTGGCACCTCCCCCCAAGCATTGTCTAGGCTCAGGGTTCGGGTTGGGCCAAGCCCTTGATTGAGCACGTCTGCACCACTGTTTACACAACCTGCCTTTTGGTCTCGGTTACTTGTGTAAAACAAACATCTTGCCCAACCCGAGGACGGCCTGGCCCCCTCTCGACTCTTTCGCCAGGCGGCACAGGATCTGAGGCAATGAATCCACAGTGGTGCCACTCAAAGCATCCACCTTCCGCCCCAGCTGCTCGCAAAACCACTGATTGTCCCCGGAGAGCACCTGACAAACCCCAGCGACTCGGGTTTCAGCCCCCAATCCACTGGCAGAAGTTGGCACGTGGGGCAAACCAGGCAGTACTCCTGGGGGGTCATTCATTTTGTGCACAGTTTCACCTGGAAACTTCTTGAAGTTCCTGCAATCGCAAACGTTGCAGGCAATTCCCACCTTCACTTCACCTGAAATGAAACCATCCAGAGTTCCACTTCTTGACCCCCATTGTAGACATAAAAAAATACACAAAAATACCAGGGGTGTCCCTTCTAGGAAATCAACCACCCATGGAACCTGAGACCCAAAGTCCATTTTCCCCTAAGGAACCGGCAGGTTCTGTGTTCAGAAGTGCCGCGGATCTTAATGGCTTACTCGTTTCACTTCATCCGAGAAACCGCCGGCTAAATGAAATACCCTCCCACCAATTCACATGGAACCTGACAGGGGGGTCCTGGACCCTGGAAGACCATTTTCCTTTTCAAGGGACCATTTCCGCGTCAGTTTCCAGGCTAATCGGCGGGAGGGCAAAAAGGAGCTACATATGCAGCAGGCCTCCGGCTCCAAGAACTTGTGCAAAGCTTCCGGTAAGCTTTTGCAGTCCTCAGGCAGTGGCTCGCACGTGTTCAACGACTGGGGGCGGCATCCGCTTCTTTTTGGGGATGACTATTTCAAGCAGGGAACCCACCCAAGGGAAGAAGGGTGCCACACAACTGGGACTTTGAATGGCCGGTGAAATTCTGCAGCTGAGCTTCTTGAATCGGAATTTGCAAGTCGAGGTATGTTTCCCTCCGCTTGCTTTCGTAGGCATTGCCATCGACTTCCTGCAAATGTCGCAAACGTCACACGTGCAAACCTGACAACACTTGACACATCTCGCACGCTGGCACCTCGCGACATTTGATGTAGTATGTCCTTTGGCCAGCATACCTGGCCAAATACGAAGCGGGACAAGCAATCAAGCCCGCAAACACATGTGGCAACAACTGGCAAACTGCAAACAGCTGATCTGTGTGAAAGTGACTCATCCAGAGACCTTGAGAATACAGGCTTCAACAAAAAGAGCCAGCTGCCGCCATTCTAGGTTCTGCCGTTTGGTCGCCAGAAACGCACTTCTCCCACGCACGCCCCACAAAGGGCACAGGTCTTGGATGACCTTCGCGAGCAGTGAGGAAGACCTGAGATCGACTGGCACATTGTGTCGGCCATGGGTCAAAATCCGAATCGTACCCCCAGTGAACATCCCAATCCCTACTAAAACAGTCTAAAATAGGTGGTGCACATACCCCAAAATTGCACCATTGGATACCATTGGCTTTGACCCACAGCCGTGTCGGCACTCCATAAAAACAAAAACACCACGCCCGCAACAGCGTGTTGGGCTTCTAAATGTCCCCACAACTTGGTTTCGTTTGGTTTCGGTTTGCCGCCAACCAAAAGGGGGGTCCATCAGTTTGACAAACCCCATCTGGCAAATCATGCCCAAGCACAATCCCCTTTGGTGAACCTTCGCCTTTGCTGATCGAATCCCGGCATCACACGCACAAAGGTGGGTTGCCGGATCTAGGCGGGTCCAAGCGTCCCTGAAAAACTCCGGAAAGAGGCGCACAACCAACTTTCAAATCTTTAGTCCGTAGCCTTTGGTCACCCATTATCCTTTACAAGCGCATAGCCACACTGCCACTATATACAAGTACCTGTGTAATTATGCATGTATCCAACCATGCATCATACACGTGTCTCCGTGTAGGTCAAACATCACTAGGACCCCTCCTATCGACTCGTTTGGATCTCGTTTTCAATATTCTGCACAGGTGGATCGGTGGATCCCCAAGTCCGCATGCACACCGGTTTCTAGACTGTTTGTCCCGAGCCCGTTGGTTTCAAGCAGTTGTCTATCAGCTGATATTTTCGGAATAATTAAGTGAGTGTCCCGCTGAGTCAACCAGGCAAACCAAGGAGTCACTGACTCGGGGTAAACGTTGTCGTGAATGGCCAGGATACCCAAATCCCGGTTTGCAAAACTGCAGCTTTTGCTGGACGAGACAACGTTGGCTTCCGTGGTTTCCCGATGTCGAAACCAGAAGGATCTTCTGTAAGGAGCACCGCAAACAGTGCATTGACTGTTTCATACTCGATCAAGGTTGCTGACAAAAGCACAAGGGTGCCTAGGAGCGAATATTTGCCAAAACTGCCCAAGGTTCTTGTACTTTGGATGAGCAACCCAAGGAACAAACCATTTTCAGTAATTGCAATCCAGTACCCGTCGTACTTCCCTGTCCTTAGGCACCACCTTCGCGATGTAAGTGCCCTGCTTTTCCAGAGCGTCGAACAGCACTCGGCCTAGGTGCGATGTGACACCTCTTTTTACATGGGTGTTGGCGGGGGACTTTACGTGGGTGTTACATCGGGTCTGAACAAATTGACCGTGTCCCCATCCCCTTCCCAGTTTTACATGGGGTTGAGACAAGGATACCGAAAGCATTGCTGGGTGTTCTTCCAGTTTTTTCCTGGGAAGCCGCGATTCACCAAAAGCTCTCACTGCCAACCACAGAACTGCGAGAACTGAAGGCATTTGGCACAACACAGGCAGCTGAGTCATGCTAAAAAGTCAAGCACAATGAAATCTGGTGACATGACCCTTGGGTGTGCTTGTCCCAAACCAACACCTTTGTTAAACTTTAGTTGAGAGGTGTTAAGAGTTCGGTTTCCATGATTTGCCCTTGGCAAAGGGTTTCTTTCTTTGGCAAAGCGCTGCAATCCAAAAGCGGCGTAGTGCTACAGAGAATATGACACTCCCAAGCCTGGGGAAACGCATACCCGAGCTCCTTTCTGCAAAAATCACCAAAAGAATCGGCTTTTTGAAAACAACTTCCTGAGTGGATGGCCAAAAAAGTAACCAAACTATCGTTTACCACTAAAGTGGTCCAACCCTAAAAAGCTTAACTCCAAATGCCCAGCGTATTTCCATGGGAAAACAGCAGCGGAATCGGCATTTGTTTTTGGTTTAGTTTCAAGGAATCGGAACCCTTAACCCCAAAAAATCGAGTTGTTGTATCAATCGGAACCCTTAACCCAAAAACGGAACCCACTGGCACAAGAAGCCGAAGAAACCAAACAAGCCGAAGAAAACTTGGTTGACGTTGGAAGGGGAGCAACAATTCAAAGTTTAGCAGTTAAGTGGGGAGTTCCCACCAAACCACAATAAGCAAAAATGTAAAATGTTTCCCAACAACAACCATGAAAAAGGGGCGGAATCCACTGGGCCAGCGGCCTAAAGCGAGAGCCCAAAGCGCCCGAAACGGAACTCGGAGCCGCGCAGAGCTCCTGCACGTCGTGCTGCTCCATGGCATCCCGGCCTCGGCGCAGAGCGCGAGCGAGGGCTCCGTTTGGGGCGTCTGAGAGCTACCGCTTTTCATCTGGGCCCTCAGATCCCCTGCTCAAAGTTCAAATGCCCTGCAAAAAGTGTTTTTGTTTTTTTGTTTTTACTTTGAGTGGGTTAAATGGACACCCACAGGCTACAAAGCTAAGGAGATGGCTGGGAGCCACCAAGTCATGGCTGTTTCCACTCCGTCCCCCACAAAAAGGTGGGTGTTTCATTGGTGGCGAATGAGCTCAAAGTACACCGGCAAACACGTACCGCTAAAATGATGTATTGCTTGTTGGGTTTTTTGAAGCACACCTAGGAAGGGGGGGGCCCTCAAACAACCCATAGTGTGGAACCAATTCTGGGACTGACTTTGCTGCATGCCGTTCACATGGAAGTGTTCCGCCAATCCAGGTGGTCCCCAATAGAACCTGGAAGACCAGATTCTTTTCAAAGGGGCCCTCTTCAGGTTCCTTCTTCCCCGGCAGCTGCAAGCCAGGCGGTCTCTGCTCAGATAGGCGATAAGAGGTGGTTTGGCGCAGCTTTCAGGGAGGGTTGCAAAGTGTCCCGGGGCTGTTGGGGATACTGTGGATGGACGAAATCCTGCACCAGCTAAGAAACGCTGGAATGATAATTCTACTGTGAATGCCAACGAACAATGGTTTCCCATGGTTTCAAAGTGGTGCAGGATTTCGTCCATCCACAGTACCACCTGCACGGTCAGCAGGGGGGGGAGACGGACCCTTGAACGAAACACGTCACAGGCCGGCGCCTGAGAAGCCACATGCGGCGGTCAGCTCCTGAACTGATTTCAGCGGGGTATCTTCCTCACCCCCCCTAACACGGTTCGCGGAGTTATCTGCCTCACGCCCTTAACACGTTTCGCGTTTCGGGGAAAATCGAACAAATCCAGCCAAGGACTGTCTCTAGCATAGACTGACCTTTTTCTACCTGTTTCTTCACAAGGGCAAGGCCGCCTGGTACCCAAAGATGAGAACCAATCAACCTACTTGCCAGAGGTGGGGCCCGCAAAGGCTTGTGGCCAGCATGGCATAGTGATCAAACGTGAGCGGCTGGTCAGCAAACGCGCCCCCGAAACGAACGCGTGCTGTAAAAAATGTCACGTCTCGGGCAAGAAACGAAAGTGAGACCTGAGCGTCACTTGCCGCAAATTCCAACGCCCAAACTCGACACTGCCAATTGAAAACAACAGAGCCGGTTGTGCCGCGAGGGAAAGATCAAACAATCCAAAGGCGTTCACCTGTAGAGATGAACACCGCCTTGTGACTTGCATCATGCGGTGAGGGCATCCAAATGTTCTGTCAAACGGCTGACATCACCCCAAAACCTGCTGCTGTGGGCATCTTGTTTGGTCAGGGAGGGCGCTTGTGTAAGTAAGGAGATATAGCCGGAGGTGGCTTTCCCTTGAAATTGCTGGGCATGTTCCTGTTTGGTGGTTTAAAACACGCCCATGCTTCCTCCGCCTTTTGCATGGTTCACCTTTGGATGTCCGGCTAGAGACAAGCAACTTTCAAGGGTGGGTGGGTGGGTGGGTTGGGTTAGGTTAGGTTGGGTTGGGTTGGGTTGGGTTGGGTTGGGTTGGGTTGGGTTGGGTTGGGTTGGGTTGGGTTGGGTGGGGTGTCGGGCGGGCGGGTGGGTGGGTGGGTGGGTGGGTGGGTGGGTGCGTGGGTGGGTGGGTGGGTGGGTGGGGGGTCAAATATTTGGACTGAACTCCTTGAATTTGGAAGCACCTGAAAACATGTTTCCCGTGTTGCTTCTAGATACTGGGTACAAAGCGATTCCCTGAAAAGAACAATTGCCTCAGTTCGTCTATGTCAAGGGTAGACAGATTGTTTCCAAAAGCTAAAACTCCGGCTTTGCCGGAAAAACACACGAGCACATCCAGCAACTCGGGGTCGGACTTTTACCATGCGCCGAAGCGCTTTTTGTGAGGGCAACGGCTGTAAGTTTTAATAGGACGCCTCACAAGTGGTTGGTGACCTGAACGCCCAAATTCTCATGATTAGAGTTAGGCCCAGTTATTGAACGTATTTTCTATTGGTTGCGTCACTTTGAGACACTGGTGAAATGTAAGATGTATCCTAAGTCTAGGCAGGTTCTGATGACCAACAAGGGCCCATGGAAACTCTCTATGTCTTGGCTGACCTTTTGGGCCTGGTGCCACTCTCCACGGGCGCGAGCCGCGAGTCCCAGCTGCAGGTCCTTGGTGGACACCGCCGAGGCTTTGGAGAGCTGCAGCTGGGCGAAGAGCCGCTGGAGCTGCATGGGGATGCCTCGGTCCCGCCGATTTTTGGGGTTCGCTTGGTGGGCCCAGGGGAAACCATGGCAAACCTCTGGGGACATCAGCGATGTTCCTGGTGTAAGTCTTGGAATGACCTCTGTTGCTTAGGTTCTATGCGGAGTGGTTGGGGGGAAGCGGCCAAAGTTCCAATTCGCTCTGAGAGTTTGGCGTTTGCTCATTAACAAGCACGTCCGCTGTCAAAAGGAGTCCTTTGAGGGAACCGCCTTTGAAGGAGTGTTGAAACATCACAGGCAACCAACGAAGGTTGCTTTTACACGTCACTAACCTCACATGTGGCTTCGCAAATTAAGTGCCATGGGAAACCGCAGATGCTAGACAATGGGCAGACCACAAGATCTGTCAACGGAAAGCTGGTTGCTGGACAACAGGGAGTATGGACCGCCCAAACGAAACTTGGCAATGGAGGTTCGGTGGGAGGGCCTGTCTTCTTCTGGAGCCCAAGTAGTGCTGAAGGCGACTGCCGTGTGAACCATACATGGAGCCATGTACTCTCAAAGTGGAAATGTTCAGAGAGGGCAATGGTGACGAACACCGACAACAAATGGGTGCGTCTTTTCGTAGGGGACCCCAAAAATGGTGGCTTAAGACCAACCCAAAGGGGATGTCCTCAAAACAGTTGTGACGCACCATCGCCGTTCCACCCTTGGGGTTGCTACATTGGTGTCACTTGGCCAGACTTAGACCCCCGCAAACAGTCGACTGCTTCACGGTGAAAGGGAACATGAAGCTAACCCAAAATGGATGTCCCAATTGAATTGCAGTATGGTGGCCAGATTGTTGCACCTGGTCATCAGTTTCGCAAAGAACAAAGCAACATAAAACAACGTAACTTCATTCTGGCATACCAGCCCATTCCGCCCATTGGAGATATCCAACTCATATGGGGGTTGTACAAAATTGCTTTGCCTCAAAACCCTCGCCGGCCAACCGCGATCCAATCGCGATCCCACAGGGTCCAATCGCGGAGCAACGTTGGTCATCGCGGCTCCTGCTTCGCTTTTGGCTGTCTTATCTCATGCGCTGGCCTTCCTCCATCCATACCTCAAGGAAGCGATGTAGTTTGGATGGGCAGGGGGCTGACTGGCGAAACTCGTCCAACCGCCGTCCAACCGCGGCGTTCGGCGGTGAAAAGCACGGCCCCTGCCTGCGCAAACGAAATCGACATTCAGCTTTCCAGGAGGGACTTTTGTGCGAGCCCGTGAGTTACAAAGAGCGAGACGCGCGTCGGCACCACAATCTAAACACCATGCAGCGTCTAAATTCACAATATTTGCGTTGCCCTTTCGCGGTCCAATCGCCAGCCTTTCGCGGCGCGAGTTTTCCCAATCGCGCGGTTCAACAAGTTGCCCCTGTTCATAAGTTTTAGACATGCAATTACGGACGGCCCCCATATGCCTTCTCCCACCTCTGCCAAGGCGCAGCGAGCAGCATCTCCGTGTAGCTGTGGGTCATGCTCCTCGGAAACCACACGGTCCCGCCCACAAGGGTACCGGATGCAAAATCGGGTGGCCAAAATGAAGGGGTTTCCCTTGGACTGAGTTTTACTTGGCAAAAAAGAAAAAACAAAAACGGCCAGTCAGGTTGTTTGCCTTGGGCTAAATTTTGCCTTGCGATTCAGCAGCCAGCCAGGTTCCAACGAGTAGTCCGATGCTGGGCGAAGGCCATTTGCTCCCAATGCCCTGCAATGCGCCAAGGCCGAGCGGCAAATTGGTACACCGCCAATCGGAACTCGGGGATGTTGAACAAGGACTGCAAGAGGGAGTTCATGTAGCAAGTGGCCTCAGTTCTGTCAGCTGTCGCCTTCAAAGCCGAGGTGGCTAAAGAACAAGACATATCGAGGCCTTCCCCTCCTGCTATGCGGACCTTGTTGGGAGTCGACAGGTTGCCCCTTGTTTTGTTCTTTGCCAGAATTTTGACTTTGCAGAAAGTCACAACAACCCCAGGCAAAAGCAGAACTCAGCTTTTGCCGTCTGTGTTTGAACAGAGCACTCAGCCTCCGACGCCCTGATTCAGAAGGCCCACGCCGCCTCAGCCGGCTCCGACGTCCGTTGAGAAACAATTCGGCAAATCAACATGGAACCCAACAAACATGACCAAATCCTGAAACATGTCTTGATGGTTCCATGTGAACCTGCAAGAGCAGCAGGCTTCTAGTTCAGGGCTGGATTTGAACATGTGTTGTGGCAGTAACTGGTGGCTTGAAGTCGTGGCTCATTGGTGCAAAATGACGTGGGGGATTGTTGCAGGCAAGTCCCGGCTGAGGACGGCCTACCTGATATCAACTTCAGGAGCTCATTTCGGAGACATGGAGCCCGAGGGAAAGCACAACTCCGCCTGCCCCGCAATAGGCTCAATAGAAACAAGAGGCTCCGACAGAACGCGGCATGCGGGCTTTCACCCGCCCCTTCAAGTTGGCAAACCAAGGTAACTCACCAAGCTTCGCAGTTTGAATCGGTGAAGCAGAATGTCTTTGGTTCCAGCCACTGAGCGGATTCAACCATTACAACTCGAGAGTTTGGGATTCAACCAAAGTTTAGGTTCCACCATGAAACTCCAAAAGCTGCAATTTACTGGCGGTTTCCATTGACACTGCACTGTTAAAGGGTCCAACCAGGGACATGGCTCGGCAGCCCTGAACGACAAAACGCCCGGCTCCGTGCCTGGTGTTCGCGCTTGCAGCTTGGCCTGGACATCAAATGCCTAGAGATTAACATGGGTGTGTCATTTTTTTAGGGGACCCCCCGTATCACAGTGGTCTTCCTGTTGCCTTCCCTTCGAAACCCCCAAAACCGTGGGGTGCCAACTTCAAAAAAGACATGCCATGGAACCACGAACAAATCCCGAGTCATTTTAATCCCGGGATCTGGGGTGTTTTTGTTGGCACTGAACTCAGGCTTCAGACCCAGAAATTACTAGTGGACCAGCGGGAACTAAAACGGGTCGGCCGATTCGAATCAAAGGAGGAGGCGCGCGTCGCGACGGCCTAGCAAAATGAGAGCATTGGTGAAACGTTCAATGGGAAAGCTGAATTCTAAGTGTTGGCGGGGCTTCCCTCAGGGAAATGAAACATACACGGGTTCTTCAGATTCTTCAGCTGGTGGCGGATGGGAAGCTTGTGACCTTTAAGGTAGACGTGCTCGCAAGGCTGAGCCAGGTCATGCGTGGAACCGCAGGGGCTTTGCGGAACATTTCCAGAGCCCAAACAAGCGGAATGAACTGAGCCGACAAGGCGAAACCGCCGAACACACACGACCAATGACAAGGACACACCTGGTCCAAGGGATTCCCAGATCGTGATTCGGGGTCTGACAGCCCGTTTATTCCCTGATGTTGCTTCAAACAGCTGAACCAAAAAAAAACAAAAACAAGGGCTACACACCGTTTCAGTAGAGTGCCTTGGTCCAATCCAGCTCGTCGTGGCTGCGAACCGCATCTCAACTTCTATTTGTTCGTGCCGCCTGGAAAAATCATATATTTCCAGTAGTCATAGGTTCCCTTTAAAACCCACATGAGAAAATATAACATTTCGTTCAGCAATGGAGGTCAAGTAGACCGTGCTAAGCGTGACAGGAGAGGATGTCCGCCGAAGGCCCCTGCCTTCAACCTGCCCAGGTTTGGGTGGTTTGGAAGTACCTAAGCCTTATCTATGCAGGGTCTCTTAAGTGCACTCAGACGCCTAGGCTTCCTGTGTCACTCAGGGAGGGAACTGTAAAAACTGAAACCCTGACAATTCGGCTCAACAGGCGGATCCTTCACAACTGAGGGTCGTGCAAAAAGAACGGGTCCCAATATCGGTTGCACCTGTGTCCTTCATGTTTCGTTTTAAAAAGGCTAAAACAAGATGTCAAAGGGTCCAAGAAAAGATACCCTCCCGTCCAGTAACATGGAACCCGCCAGAGGGTGTTTCAAAGGAACATGGTCTTCCAGGAGCCCCGAGTCAGGTTTCACGAATATTGGTGAGAGGGGCATTTTCTTACTGAAGCAGAAACACATCTGATACTCGCTTGCCCAAGTTGTTCACCTGTTTGATATCTTAGTTTACCCTTTTCGGCAACCCATTCTTATTTCTCTCAAAACGTTCATTTGGTGAAGAACCCCGGAAAATATGTCCAGTCGTGATAAAATCCTTTAAAACCAACAAGGGAAAATAATAATAATAAGTCAACAAGAAACTTGAGCAACTGGAAGAAAAGGTGATCACCTTTTTTTCTGGGCCTCCAGTGCCTGGACCCCGGATAGGCCGTACATGGCCGCCCGCCGCGCCTGGCCCCCGCTTCGCAGCATCGCCAGAAGCTCTTCACGGTGCGCCTCGGGTGTCTCAAAACCTGGCTATTTGAGGGCCCTAAATCAATCGGGAGCCTCTGGGAAAGGAATATGCTTCACTTTATCCTTGCTGTGTTTAAGATAATTAGTTGCTCAATAATGTTTGTAATTGTCCCTTGTTGCTGTAAACGGTTTATTGCTTAACATGTTTGTTTTCCCTGGCTGCTTTTGAAAGAGAGATCGATCACTACTGGATTTTATGTTGATTTTTTCTAGGGGGCTTAAGCAAACGGAAGATTACTATGACTCCCAAATTGGAAGCAAGAACCCCTCCCCTCCCCCACCCCCCCGCGCAGGAAATCCTCAAATGTTGTTGTGATTTGGGCAAATGCCTCGGGCAATTACAGCACCCCGAACTGCAAAAAAGGCACCACTCCTTTCAAGTTTGTTGTCCTTAGCCCAAAAGATTCTGTTTATACAGGGAGCCCTCTGTGAATGTACCTGACTTCACTTGCGCCTTGGTTACGTTCAAAGCAACTTTCAACCCGGATCTGCTTGTCACTGAGCCAAAGCCCTCTCCCACCAAAGTTTCCTGGACGAACTCTTGCGGGCTGGTGTGCCCACCTCATAGATGGCCTCCTCATCTTCCTCCTCCTCCAGCGATTCGAAATACGAAGTCAGCTACAAGGTTCAAGGTCTCATTGTGTGAGAATGTACCCCCTACCTGAGCTTGGTTGGCATAAGTTAGTGACACAACATCCGTTGCACTTTCCAAACGAACCTGAGTTTTCTCAAGGTGAACAGTTTGGGACCTTCAAATGGGCCGCGACCCGAAAACCAAAAGGTGAAAAAAGGCCGTTGAAGTTGCGATAGTTTCCCGAGATTTCCCGAGAATTGCCAGGTTCCTTGGGAGCAGAGAACGCAAAACCCCCTCCGCCACCTCCATCACCTCCGTCGCTTCCGTCACAGCCGTCACAGCCGTGGCTGCAGGGCTGGATGCGGCTTTCTCACCTGGCATGAAAAGCAATGCATCGGCGCTTTGTGCGGCCTCTTTGGCGGGTACGACTTTTTGGTCCCAAGAAGGGTTCATTCCAGCTTAACTCTTGTCCAGGGGTCAAATTCAATGAGACTCATGCAGAATGCTCCGTGCCAGTGTTCATTCTGACCGCCAAATCCGCCAGTGGATTCGGCACGGGCCGTTGAGACAAGAGACTGGCCCCAACATTCAATCATTCAATATCAACACATGACACCAACCTGGATGTGGCTCAAATGCTCCAAATGTCACCTTGGTGTATGGAAAAACAGACTAAAATCTGCGCCCAAGCTGTTTCATTTTGAGCCACACTCACCTGTTTCCCCTTTGGGACAGGAAGCCAACACATGACTCTAACCAGATTAATTCGTCGGTGAGTGTCAAGGGCGTCGTTTCTGTGAAGGGTGCTCCCTCCACTCTTGACACCATGCTCATGATAAACCGCAAATTTGGCCAAGGGTTTCAGGGGGCACTGAAACCAGACTTGAGTTTCGAATCTTTCAGCTTCCCGCAGAAACTTCACGCTTGCTCGAGGCGCTTGAGACCCGACACGTGCGTCTCTCTGCTTTTTCTCCGATGCTTTGCCGGCGAGTCATGCACGGGCCGCCTTTGTTTGAGCCCGGAACACCCGCTGAACTGGGCTGACACACAACACGACATCTGGCTGGGACATTTGCCAAAGTGGCAGAACCCCAAAAACTCCCCGAACGCCCAACTCAGGGAATGAGGATGTCAGGATGTCAAAAAGACCCTCCAAAGGCGGCCGAGTTGAGTCATTGGCTTTCTCTCAGGCCGCCAGCAGCCAGATCTCCCCATCGCTCCACTCGATCTTCGTCGGAGGCATTTCCGTGAAGACCTTGCCCTCATGCACTTCTCCTCGCATCCGAAAGCCCTGGGCTAGTTGCGGAAAGGATCCAAGATGTTCCAAGATGTTCCAACATTCAGAGATTCCCAGGCTCCCTGGGTTTCTTTTTCACCCCATCATCCGACCCGAGACTGTCCTGTGGCCCTGAACTTCAAGCGCACTCGCCAGGGCCCAGCTTCCTGGCGCTCCCAAGGCTCCACGTGACGGAGCTCGCGGCGGAAACTGGTCACGGATAGAAGTGCTCGTGCCTCATTCCTTCAACAGATTCTCGTATCTTTTGAACCTGAAGAAATACAACAAACATCCCAGTTCCGTTCAGGGTCACCATGGATCCAACCTCTTTGCTCGCTTCCCGGACTTGCCGCCTTTTTGAGGGTTTGGGGGGTATTCTGCTTTGGCTAACATCCCGCACCAGCTGAGATGAATGAAACCAACACAAATACGGGGATGAGCCACCTACCCACTGGTGCAAAGCGGATCTTGTCTATCCACGCGTCAGCGTATCGGTCCATGGTGCTGGACAGTAAAGCCATTTCGTTCTCCCATTCTGTGCATCCCCTTCCTCATGACTACTACATCTCACTTAAACAGGATTCCCGTATCACGAAGACTGGGCGAACAAATCCATATTTCATACCTCCCACAATGGCTTTCCTTGCGTCCCCGAACTTGCGGCCTGGTACGCCCCAAACACATACGTGGCTTACTGTTTGTTCCCTTTTGTAGTATCCCCCCAAAACTGGGCTGTTCCAAGGCGATCCTTAATCCTTGGGTTGTGAAAGGGTCACCTGGCTTTGCTCTAGGGGCCATGGATTGACCAACTCCAAGAAGCAGAACCTCACTGGGTCCTCCATAGTGCTCTCCATCTTCTTGAAGGCAGCGCTCCACTGCATCTCCTGGTCGCTCAGAAAGCCTGGGTGGCCGAACAGCCCAAAAGCAACATGTGATCGCTTTTTGGGGCCATGACCAAAACAAAGGGCCAAGATGGTGATCATTTTGGGCCATGACTGATAAACGGAAAGGGAGAAACTAAAATGTGTCTCAAAGTCCATGTGCTGAGAAGCCCATCTCCACCCCGTCGCTGCGGACCCAGGTGCCCTGCAACTGGTCCATCAGTGTTTGGGACCTGCCGGCTGTCGCTTTTTGGGCATGGCGGAGGCCGTCGTGTTTTTCCTGGTTTTTTTTTTTTGGGGGGGAAGGGAGGGAGGGAGGGAGGGAGGGAGGGAGGGAGGAGGGAGGGAGGGAGGGAGGGAGGGAGGGAGGGAGGGAGGGAGAGCTTTTTTGGTGGGGGGTAGATTTTCAGGGCTGCTCCCAGCCAACGCGATCCTCAGCCGGTCCAAGCGAAGGACCTTCATCACGGGCTCGTTTTACCCCAAACGGACCTACAATCAAAACCCGGGTAGAGGCAGGTTAGTAAGGGACACTCCCAACCATAAATAGCTGCGGCCGCCTTCTTAATTCTTTATGTGGTTCTGGGTCGAGCATTTGAATAGCAGGTTTTGACTCAAATGATTTTAAGCCCAACTGAAACCCATGGCAATTCTCCGGGTTCAACGAACTCGCCAACGGGGTGCAACTCCCAAAGACCCAGAGGTAGAAAGTTGGCCGGACCCAACACATTTTTTTACTCTTCTGTGGGTATGGTTTTGAGGTTCGGAGCAACCCAGTCCCAGCAAAACAAGACCTATGATCACCAAATGTCACAGGCCAGTGCCTCAAGATTGTGAACGTAGAATGGGACTTCAGCTTGACAAGCAAAACTGCGGATACCACGTGGTTATTGAGATGGATATCTTGGATCTGAGTCGTATACAGGAGGGGAAGCAGGCATAAAGTACAATATGGTTGCACCCCCGTTTGGTCTCTCCTTCTCTCCTGCTGAGTTCACTGGCTGAAAACGTTTAATTTCTTTTCCATGCCAACTCCACAGGTCGTGGGTAAAAGTAGATGGCACAATCCCGTGTGGGAGGGGACGAAACCGACATGAGTCGGGACGCCATCTCTCACTCAACGATCTGCGCCATGGGAAATGTCAGTTGCCATACTGTGGATGGACGAAATCCGCACCACCTCAGACATTCTGGAATGATGACTCCCCTGTACAAACATGGCTTCAACCATGGTTTCTTTGGTGGTGCGAGCGGATTTCGTCCATCCACAGGTTCCCATGATGTCAAAGTGGTGCAAAATGGGGCTTCGTCCACAGTAGTTATCGCGCCTCTGGATCACCATATCTTGCGAGGTGAAGCCAGTGCAGACCTCATCCTCACACCTTCGGCAGCCCACCGCGCCCATGGCGCCCGTGAACGCTTGCGCAAGCTCAGCCAAGGTCGCTTGGGGGCCTTGGGGGTTCCTTGCTTCCAGTTTGTGAATCATTCAGTGGATGGCGATGTGCCCAAGAGGACGTCTACTTGCTCAGGAAGTCAACACTGATCAACATATTGATTCAAAGCCATGGCAGGGGGAGTCATGCGAATGTCATTGCCCTTAGTGCTCCTTAAGGGTCCATATGGTCCTTGAATAAACCGCAAAAATGAATCATACCAACTCTCATGCACCAATAAGCCTGGCATACCCTGGCATGGACATCAACGCTCCGTTGGCTGTTGGCCTTTGGCACAGCTCCCAAGCATCTTGGTGCGTCCCTGTGACCAACAAGCACCCAAGTATCTCAAATGGGTGCGAGTTGCAACAGGGGGCCCTCAGGTGGACATCATTTGGGTGAGGATTCATGTCCACCAATCCCTTTGTTGATGTGTTCCCGCTCAAAACCCATGGCGAAATGAAGTAGCAAGTGGTTGTCAAACAAAGGTGACCCCCGTTGCCCATCCTGTAAAAGATTATATACACAATTGTCAGCGGGTGTCTATTCAAGCGAACCCCCGCTTCAACCCATTGTCCGGCCCCTTCCCCTGAAGCCAAGGAGAAAAAGCGGCGGGCCACTTGAGCGCAACCAACGCTACAGACCACGGCACCCACCAAACCTGAACAAACAAAGTGTGCAATACTGCAAACAAACTGCCCCCATAACACCCCTGTAGCCAACACAACCCAACAAAAACACATATGCAACAAGTTCGTAAGACTGTGAAAGTCATGAGCCCATTTCCCCTCATCCAAAGCCAGCGCATTCGCACCGCTGGATCTTGCCAAGCAAGACTGCGTCAAATCGAAAAGAAATCAGCACCCCTTCTGCGGCTGTTCCATTTGGACACCGGAAGAAACTATCTGCAAGGGCCCCTTGGACACCGGCAGGGTTGTGGAAAAGAGCCCATTCCGAGATAGATTCTCATCTCCATCACTGAGAACCCGATGGTCCATGGTCCTAAAGCCCTAAAACCCGATTTTCCATCGCGTCGGAACATTCAGCTTCTGCTTCAGTAATCTCAAATAGTGCTTGAATTCAGCTTCCCACTGCCTGGTGGTCTGTGTTGGTGGTTTGGTGGTTAGGGGGCGGTTTCCAATTTGCCCTCTGAAATGAACCACAGGTTCCTCTCCCCAAACCACTAATCCAAACATCCAACTTCGGGTTGTCTCAGACAGGCAAGCCTTGATTGGTGGTTTGGATTGGTGGCTTCGGGATTTGAACCCGTGGTCTTGTACAATGAAAATGGAAAGCCACCGTCTAACCAAGCCGAGGGAGGGAGGGAGGGAGAGAGGGAGGGAGGGAGGGAGAGAGAGAGAGAGAGATAGACAGAGAGAGAGCGGAGAGCGACCTGCAGCATGCTGCGGCCCAACCCTTGCTTCTCAAGGCGACAAAAGCCACCCTCCGCTTGGAGTTCGAGCAAGGCTGAGCAAGGTGTCTATTGCAACCAAGGAGTCAAGAGAAAGAGAAGGCAGGGCCAACGCAGCAAGGCGGTAGCCTGTGCATGCAAACGCACGCGCTGCCAACGAACAGGAAGAGCCAGCGCGCCAAGGCGGCGGGGCTCGCGCGTGCAATTACACCCGCCGCCAAAGAGAAGGCAGGGCCAGCGCACGAAGGCGGCAAGACCCGAGCATGCAAACGCACGCACCGCCAAAGAGAAGGCAGGGCCAACAGGCGGGGCCTGCGCGTGCCACGATCCGCCAAAGGGAAGGGGCGAGTCGAAAGTAGCGCGCGAGAAGAAAAAACAAAGAGGAAGAAAACAACCAACAACAACAAAAGAAGTCACGGGTTTTCACAAAGTCAGCTTTTCAGGGCTCTGGAAAATGGAATCCACTTCTATACGACCAAACAGGGCCTAACCCCAAGTAACACCCCCGCCCAAAAAAAAGGGAGGAGATTCCCCAAAAGTATCACAGTCTTCCCAAAGACTTCTTCCAAGGGAGGAGTATCACACTGAACTTCCCAAAGACTAACCCCCATGTTAAAGGGGGAGATTCCCTAATCACAGAAGTGCTAGAAACCCCCCGAGTGATCCGCCCGAGTGAAGCTTGAAGCCGCTTAGATCCGCGCCTGCAGGCTGAAGCGCCTCAGCCGAGAGCGGCGGGCGGCCTCCCGTTCAACCAAGCCCAACCTTAGGCGACCACCTGGATAGCGGGTCAGAACCAAAGAAAAACCGTTTTGGTTTTTCTTCTTAGTGGTTTGTTGGCCCCTTAAAAGTGATATAAACTTTTAGTGGGACATGGGCCGGTCATGGGTGTTGCTCAAAAAAGGGGACCTGTACAAATGGTGTTTCTATTAAACCAACCCCCAAAAAATGGTGCCAACTCCAAAAGACGAGCCACCCATATCTCTCAAGGGGAAGCGTTTGGCTGCGAGCTGCCATACGCCAAGTGGCCTTCAGAAATCACCTCGAGCTATTTGCCTACTTGGGTATGTGTCAAAATGTGGGGAAACCCCAAAATGCTGTCCCATTGTTCCTGCAAACCGGCCTGAAGCGCGTACCTCAAAAAAGCACACCCACATTTGGCACCAAGCCATGTGCGCCCCAAACCTCAAGGGCTCTCACTTAAATTGGCCTAACAAGAGATGTTTAGAAGTTGGGGGAGCCCTGGACTCTGGACTCCTTGCGATTTGGAGAGAAGGCGATCATGATTCTGTGATAGCGAACCTGTAAGGCTCCAAACATCTCCAAACCATGAATAACAACCCCGGATTCATCAAGCTGACCTAAATCAAGTTTTTCTCAAGAACATTGAACAGCTCGGCTGAAAGCCATACCCCATCACAAACCAACCATGATCTTGTAATGCCTGTTAGACGAGCTTCCACTGCAGAACCGGTAGTTCATTTGAATCTGTGGCTGGGCAAAGATACCATCCCTGGGTCAATTGAAGCAACATCCTCAAACTTACCCTCCAATCGGTGAAACGGAACCCGCAAAGATATTGTGGGAACCTCTCAAAATGTTCACTCTTACTCACATCCTGAGTAGATTGTCCAACCAAAAGTTGTTTAACACTAAAATGGTCCAACCCCAACAAGTGACTAAAGTCCATGAACTCAGGAAGTGAGTTTAGATCCCATGCTGTATTTCATTTCGGCTGTCGGCAGGCCACTTAAGCCTGGTGATGCAGAGCCAAAAGGCCCAGCGAAGGAAAACCGAAACTCGTCACGTCGCGTGCGCCATGCAAGTTGGATCTAAAATGATTCCGTCCCCACCGAGGAACAAAGGCGACCTGTTTAATCATCCTCAATGTCCTGCGACTTAAGGCGAAATAAAAGATGGGTGGGATCTGGCAGACTCTCTGCAGTGCTTTGCAAGCAGATGCGGGACTCGCTGGTTGGGAAAATGATAAGCGAGTCGAATCTTGCTTCAGCTGTAGCTCTAGGGGAGATGGACGCTTTCGGACCTAGCAAAAAACCGTCCGGGCCCTTGGTCCGAAAGTGTCCAACTCCCAGAGATACGGTGGATGCCCTAAATCTTCCAATTCGCCAACCACACTCAACAGCAAAACCATGGTAACTAAAGTAAATTCGAGGGTCCCCCTTGTTCCCTTACTGGCAAAATTGAGGGCACCCACCGCAAGACTAAGCCTAAGATGCAAGGATAATGTGCTGCCAGCGAGGCAGAAACCCCATAGACCTGATGGTTCAGTCTCCCGGCTGAGCGCTTTTCTCATCTGTTTGCTTCGGATAAGCCAAAGAAGCCCTGATACGTTCTCCCAAATGGCTCACGCTCGGGAGACAACATCTCCGCGTTTCAGGCGTTTCGCCCTCCAACGACTGCTTTCCCCAATGTCCAGATCAAGCGCGCATCCCAAAGGCAGTCGTTGTGGGGAGGCCGGTCGGTTTTCCAATGGCCTAATGCGGCGCTTAGCAAGCGCTCACTTGAATAAGGTGGCGGTCACGCCTGTCGAGGAAAACGGGACACCCCAAAGAGGGGTCAAATGACAGAGAGGCCAATGTCCCTGCGTTACGTGCACAACTCTGCTTTTCTATGATGGACAATAAGCAACTTTGAAGGCGCTTTGGAAGGAGTTTTAGCCGTGTATCTGCTTTTGTCGCAGATTAATTCTGTGCCCTTGGCTGTGTAGAGCTTCCATCTAGCTTCCAGTCTGCGGGATTCATGTGTTCAACATGGACTCTCCATAATCTATCTCATCATACTTTCTGGCACATTCAAATCCAGCTCGGATCCCGTGTAGTATGTGGCTAGCATATATAAAACTGGGTTTAGATTCGTTTTGCCTATGATATGATGAGATTTCAATAGCTTGGTCAAGCTACAAGCATTCAACATCCTAGCAAATATGTTGCCACTCTTCGGAGATGTTGCACAACAGTAGTTGAACATGGACAAAGAGGTGATGCGGACACATCACCGCAAAGATACACCACCCTGCCCAAACGAAATCCACCCAAATCTATTTCAATGCGATTTACTCGTATTTACCATTATTCGCATCCACAATAACCTCTGTGATTGCATCACACCAGCAAATCATGCGAATAAGTAGGGTAACGGAACTAGAACTTGAGCAAATATATGCCAATATAAGCTTCGCGGAGAGGCAACTTCGCATCCGATGCCATGAGAAAGCTGCTGCATGGGAAACAAATATAGTCACATCTGAGAAACGAAACAAACGACTCGAAGAACACCCCCCAACAGAAAACCATCCCCCAAACAAAAGGTTTTGGGCTTGTGCGAAACATTTCCCTCCGGGCGGTATGGTGTGGTGACTTTGTTTTTAGGTGTTCTCATGTTGATTTGGATTTTCCTTACGTAACTACAAGCTTCTCAAGGGAGCACGGTTCAGATCGCAAAAGTTATCAAGCGAATAGAAGGGTCAGCTCGCGCAAGTAGAGGACAGGTGCCAGAAGCGATCATAATTCCCCTGCATTTTCAAGTAATGTTGACCCCGGATTAATCAACCCCTGTTTATTAATATGGGGGTGTTCCCCTCCAAAAGTAATGAATCCCCAAGTATCACCCAAAAAAATGCAAGGCTCACGGTTTTGTGCCAAAAAAAACGGAAATGGTGGAGCGACTGGATCTCAAACAAATGATCACAGAAGTCCCACATCCACTGCACTGGGGCACCCCATGATGTTGTACCGCATGAGTCCAAAACAAAAAGCGCGGGGATTCATACACCCCAGTCCAAAAAGGGAAACGTCCCTTCCCCATCCCAAATGATCTAATCGGTGCAGGGCTGTTCCTACTACTTGGAGCGTTCCCTCTAAAACCAATTCATTCCGCAAGGCAAAAGCCAGCCGGGGCGCAATTGATCGTCTTCTTGCCGCAGTTGGGGGCGGTGTTTTGGTTACCGGAGGGGCAGGTGTTGCCGTTGGGGCAGCACACGTCGCCGGCGCAGAAGTAGGCGCCCGACTGGTCGCAGGCCACCCAATCTCCAACCCCGCACATCTCCTTTGCCACGCAAAGGACGCTGTGGGCCCACTGTGGGCACATCTGAAAGGACCTCTTATCCCAGGACTGGGAAACAACTGGTTCCCTGGACCCCAGGGCCCGAGAAAATGGGCTGGCCAATCAATATTCCAGAAGTAGATGTCGGGAAACCGGTAACCGCAATGGGGATCCCTTTCATAACCCGGAATCTGGGTGACAATCCGAAGAGTACTCCCGCAAATATTTAGTCCTTCTCTTCAAAGGCAATGAGTGAAAGAAATGGGAAACCCGTAGAGTTTGGGCAACGTGAGTGGCTGGTTCCCCAGGGCTGGTTCCCTCAAAGGCGCCTTCAGTTACCAAAAAAATGGGTGAAGCCACCCCAAGGACTATAGACAATGCCAAGGTTTTGAGACGTTCAAGAGATTTCGCCAAACAACTGTCAAAGTCTAGGCTGGTTTGTGTACCCCTGTTTCATACCCGTTGAATTGGGTTTCTTTTTCTATTTCCACCAGGCTTGCTGGACAAGATTGTCAGATCTCGGTTGCTTTCTGCTTCCCTGCTAAAAGTTTAACTTTTAAAGGTCTAATGGAAAACCCATTAGTTGGCAAAAAGTTAAAGTCCTAACATGCACCCAAGAGAATATGTGTTCTTCTCTGATGTTCAACATGGCTTCCACCAGTAACAGTCACTACCAGGCCAATGCCATGAAGCACTCTTTCCCCAAGCAGAAAGCGTTCTGGGTTCTACCTTCTGAAGAGGGGAAAGTGATTTTCGAGATTCACGGCTGCGTGCCAGGGGGCGCTATCTGGGGTCTATGCTGGTTTTTGTTACTTCGATTTTCAGGAAAACACCCTAAAAAGGGTTGAACAAAGGCACCGCTGTGTGCGTGTGGTATGAAAACCCACTGAACTACCAACGGGTTTCCATAGTTGCTCTATTCCTACATGGGCCAATTATGTGATCTTGAAACCCATCAAACGGGGACACATATACGGCTCTTTAAAATTGGGAAATCGCTCGAAAGTGGGAGGTGGACATATGAAGCAATCAACCCGAAAATGACGCTCACCAAGGTGCAACCACTCAAAATCAAAGGTCACACCCATTGAGAAAATCCCTGACGAAGCTCCTTCTCTTCCGCCGCAAACTTCTTGGTCTGGTGCCTCACGCAATTCAGACGCTTGGGGTGGACGCAGAGCTTGGAGTGTTCATCGCTGCTGGAGGGGCACAGGCTTCCGTCTGGGCAGCACCTCGGAGTCAGCCCCAATCAAAACGCCGACCTCAACACGTGTGCACCCAAGCCAAATGCACATACAGAAATGCATGATTTGGATTCTGGCCCATTTCCACTCAAACTTGAAACAAAATGAGTTCAATGAAGCTCCCAGAAAACACGGTAGAATTGCCTTTCCGCAAAACCCCGCCAAGGGAGTTGTGGCTTTAAAGTACCCGTGTCCTCCTTTCGGCGCAGCTTCTCCGAAAAGGAACATGGAGGATTCCTCGGACCTGGACGCTGGCACTGTCTGATGCAACTCTTTGTGGGTTGGTCGAGCTGAAGACCTCAACACCTACAAATCAGCAAAACAAACAAAACAACGACCAGGTCCACCGCGGTCCACCAAACAAATAAACAAACAAGCAACTAAGTACACAACCAAAGAAGCAAACAAAACAAA